GAAGTGATGATGTCTTTTCATAAACACAAGTATTTAACAGGAACAGAAATAATGGTCCACAAAAACCACCAGAATTAAAGAGAAAAAGGGAAGGAAGAAACCCCATCATTATTAAATGCACTTCTTTAGTAGGGACACCAAAATTCTTCCACAAGACCTTCCTTATATACCTAGAACTGAAACTATTTCCTGTGTTCAGCTACTGAAAACTGCCCCTTGCGTATCTTTGTGGTATGCAAGATTTGCTTACACTTAGCAGCAGTGAAAATATTGCATTTGTATCCAGTAGGGAAGAGGAAGAAACACAAAAAAATCCCAAACCACCATAAAACCCCATGCCCAAAAAAACCCCCAAACACTAAGAGAAAGACCACACAGATCAAAATGTCTTAACGTTTTCTATTCTGGAATTTTAAAAAACTCAAGGTTACACATAAGAAATAAATAGCACGATCTAAAATAATCCAAAGGGAGTATTTTTATAACACTGTTAGTGTAGTCCAGTTTATCTATTGTTTTCAATGATCATAGTTTTTAAAATGTGTAAGGAAGTAATGACTACTTATTCCAAACTCTCTCAAGTTATTCTCCAAACTTTGTATTTTCAGCCCAAAACACTTTTCTAGTTATTTTCCAGGTATACTGTACTATACTATGTAATGTAAAGAAAAATACAATAAAGACATCAGAAAAGCAAAATATGTACAAATCCATGTTACCACTATGCTCTGGCTGATACCCTGCATGACCCTGAACAAATCACTTAGTTGCATTCCCACCAAAAATGGAGAGGGCTCCAGACTCTGAAAAATGACTGTCAGACCAAAAAATGTTTACAGAGCAGCTTGCAATCATCAAACAGAGGGCTCTGCAAATGGAAAGTATTACAGCATGTGGGATGTTCTAGCCGTGCGCTTAAAAAAAACCCAGAAGAGCAGAAAAAAGAGCCTTCACAATCATGACTGGGCACATGCTCCAAACAGAAATGAAACTTCATCTTCTCTGGTATAGCTCTGTGATTTTTCATTACTTATACTTGACAAATACTATGTCTATAAACAAGAAAAATAAATCAGAAGCTCATCCACACAGGATCAAATAAAAGCTGCTGAAATACTTTGCGAACTGCAGGCATGACAAGGTTCTTGGAAAGAAGCAGTATCTAGTACCAGATTTCATTCCTATAGCTAAAAGCAAAATTTCCAGGTACCAATGTATTTTCCACAGGTTTCAGTCACCGTTATAAATTGAGGGACAAAAAGAAAATAAAAACAATGTGTCAGATCAGGATGCAACAAAGCACCTACTAACCATTGATTTGAGAGATGGATGAGAAGCTCTTGCCTTTTACTTTCACATGAGAAATGAAGATAACTTAATGTTTATTTGCAGATGAGAAATTAGGGTATGTTTATTTGCAGGAAGAGAGGGTATCACTATTTGAAAGGAGCCCAGAAAGTTTCTTTTTCTTCTCCTCCTTGGTAAAATTTGGATGAAGAAACAACAAAACCAAATGCTACTGTTTCCCAGTGAAATACTTGTTCAAGCAAACGAACACATTCATTATTACAAAGGCCTGCATAAAATCAACTCTACCTTGTTTCCAAATTCATAGGACAAGCAAAGCAAAAGGCTACTATTTTCTCTATAGTTATTTTTTCTTACCAAAAAAAAATCAGCAATACCTTTCATTCAATGTTGAAATCTAAATAGATAACAGACATAAGCATTTTCTCACCACGTGTGAAATTAATGATCAACCTCAATAATTAAAAGCATCAGAGTGCTGAACACCCATTGGTTTCTCTGAGCATTCATCCATACTGCACATCTGACAGTGGTTTCAAAGAAAATCTGGACTGAATAACATGATTCAGATGAGAAGAGACTGACAATAAACAGCATTTTAGTACTGTGCAGTCATAAACCAGCAAGCTTTAGTACTGCATGTCCACATTAGGAAAAATGAAATGGCTTCTTCCGAGAACAACATGCTGGGTCTTTGACCCATGTGCCTGCATTTTTCCCCTTGAAACCAGGGGAAATTTGTTTTCCTGATTTCCCTTGTTCATTACAGTCATGCAGAATCAATGGTAACTAATAAAAAAATCACAACTTCGCTTTTAAAATCTTATAAAAAAATTCAATTAATTACTCACTTTTGTAACTTTAAATAAAATCATTTTATGATGTTGTTGTTTTAAAACAATAATTCTCACACATGAACTAAAAACAAAGACATAAAAGACTTTTCTCAAAGATTACAAAGTGGACTGGATGGCCTAGGATCATGCAAAAGCCATTCAGTGAAAGTATGTCCTTGCATAAATGATTGGCCTACCCATGGCAAGGATGCAACTACAGAGCTCTGGGAAGAAAACACAAAACACAGTGGCCTCTTTCACATTTTATAGGGACCTTCCTTATCTCCCTTCATATTCCTAAAGGAAAAGGTCTTTTGGCAGTTTCCATATTCACTAATTCTAATTCACTAACTCTTCTATAAAATGAAAGAATAAACACTGTAACTAGACTCACCACATTTCTCAAGTCTTCTAGACTATGGTGGGCAGATGAATTTATCCTGCTTCAAAAGAAACTTCACAAACACAAGTATATATCACAACACACCATTAGCAGATGGTGATTACAAAATGTGTCTGAGGAGGTTTGGGTATGCTAAATCATACAGTTCATAAGAAAAGACAGATTCCTATGGATATGTTACCACGATGAGGCACAATTTCCAAAATTCAAACCTGAGAATAGATTTCAGAATAGAATTTGAGCAGATTTGTCAAAACCAGCAAGACGTGACAAAAAAAGGCATGACTGTAGACTTGTCCTGTTCCTGTAATCTTTCTCTGGCTGTTACAGATGACATACAGGACTAGGTGGCCAATGGTCTGACAATACTTCTGCTTCTCAATGCTCAGTAGCAGCCAGATATAAAGAAGTGACGCCTTTTCTTAGACAGTCTATCCATGCCACTGATGCTATGATTTTTTATTACTTAACTTTTTAATAGCAGTCCTTTTGTTGTTAATGGATGTGGTTTATGCAAATCTTATCAACCACAGATACAGATTTATAAATTACCCTAAATTACAGTGCTGTAATGTGACAGTGTTGACATGAAACTCAAGCAGCACAGGAATTTCCAGAGGCAGGATGCCTAGAGCCAAAGTTTCATTTCAGCTCTGAAGCAAATTCCCGATGCACCTTTAGGTTACTCATCTCCATTTCCTCCTCTCTAAACCCTCTCTAAACCTGCCTCCCAGGATGGTGCTGGAAGTTTACTTAATGAATGTGAATCATCTTAGCACTGCCTCCTGAAATCCAGATGTAATCAATAATGAGCCAAAGCTTTCCTTGGGCAAAGCTGCATTTGAGGAAAAGTGCACCTTCCAATATGCCCTGTCAGGAGTGGTCTCACAAAACAGCAAAAGCAAAGCTGTGCTATATCTGCCAACAAGTGCAGCAGTCTGCCTTTAAGTGTGCAGCCATGAAGGCTGCTTAGCTTTCCTAGAGCCACAGTCTGACCCGTGGCGTCACAGCTTCTCTGCGAACCAGCTCAAGCTAGCAGGGTGTGACACAGCACTCAGGTGAGAATCTGTGTGCACCTGCCTTTGCAGCCTCCAGATACACAGCAAAGACATCACTGAGCATCCCAGGAGTCACCTCTCCTCAGAGGATATATCTCCCTTTTCCTACACACAGCCAAAGGGTAGGTCAACACTCCTCAAACTCGCCTAGCTGCTTGCATGATCATTCTCTAGTCATCTCCACCCAATACAGATTAGAACAAATGAGATCCCTCATTTTTCGATTGTTCTGAGCCTGCTTGTTCTGACCAAAACAAGACAGGGAACAATTGCAGCTGAGAAAGTGAGTATGAGAGGGCAGAATTTTGCAAAAGACGTGGTAAGTTCCTGTATGTGACCAGCACACCATCAATCAATGCCCAAGGGCTTGTTCAAATTATGCAGCTGCCAGATGCGCTCCTCCCTGTGTCATTCACAAGGCTCCACAACCATGAGACTCTCTGTGTACCAGATTTGATCACCTCCATCTCTCTGTTCAAGTACTTTGGTATGCTGTGATCCCAGTTGGTTTTGGCATCAGTATCAAGAAAATAATTTCAGGCACGTGTTCTTGAAGAGCCTGGATTTTTATGTAATACTAAACAGCTTTACATTTTAGAGCAAAAGGAAGGGGAAGCTACTGGAAGTACTGTAACCACAAAGTGTCATTAGCTTTCCATCTGGTCAGCTCCTGGCAATTCCAGAGTATCACAGCAGGCATGTTCATGTCCCACCTCCCTCCATGTTCGTTTCTCATGACAGTCATCTTCACCCCCTTAATGTTTTGGCCATAAGGATCACTTCAGCATATATTGCAGGCTGAAGATCCTCACAGAGTATTTTCAGTCCTTAACTACAGAGCTGTGAGACAGCTTGTGGATGAATGTCCAGTTTTAATGACAAGATGAAATGATGGAGAAGCTGTTACTACTCTCATAGGCAAGCTGTCCCTCTGAGTTCCAAGACCAGTTTCTGCAAGTAAGTGCCAGGAGAAGAGCTGCCACAAAAAAAAAATAAAAATTAAACCTGCATCAGTCATTTAATACACAAAAAAGAATTAAACTGTTGTCAGTTCTAAGTTCCTCAAGGTCTGCCTGTTTCTGTACCAAGTATATTGCCAGATCCACTAAAGAAAGTGACAACAAAACCAATGCACGTGCATGAATGTGCCCAGACACATACACAGCGCATGACAGCCACCTCACGCAGATCTCTGGGTAAGATTGATTTCAACTATGTTAATTACCATCCTGGAAAAGAGATTGCATTCAGATTTGTAACCAATGATAAAGAAAAAAACCAAAAAACCAAAAACCCAAACATACATTAACACAAGACAAAGCATGAGCATCTTACAAGGGAATTATTTGAAACCTACCACTTATTTAATTTCATTTCATCAAAACAAGACAGGTAGTCTGCTCATAAGCAAATGTAGGCTGTTTTTACTGATACTGTTTCAATAAGGACATTACAGGCCCCCATAACTGACAGTAAACAAGGAATTAATGTTTTCACCTTATTCTAGATGGTTTCAGTTTCAGTTGGCAATTTTGCCAGGTCAAAAAAAGAGCAGATGAATCATTAGCAAACTCATACACACTTTCCATCCATTTACATTCACTGGCACCAAAGTGTCAGAAGGGTATGAACTCCTTTCCCCTTTCCCTCTGAAGCAACACTGTCTCCAAGCCTCATTACCTAAACTGAATATAGTTCTAGGACAACTATGAGCAGTTACACATCTAAAACCAATATATTAGTCAACAACTGACTATATTAAAAATGTGATACTCATTTGAGAATATCCTTATAAAAAAACCCTAAGAAATCCCATGACTTTTTATGAGTCTTTTAAGCTGTAATCAATTTATAGCATAGAAACTGAGTCAGCTGCTATATAATCAAGGCTCCTCATGAGAAGTACAGCTTTGCAATGACTCAACGTGCATTGTTCTCAACCTGCATGAGCCAGAAACACTGCAATCACTACCAAGAGCAGCTCACAGAATCTTCCCACTAAAATCCACAGGAAGGTATTTTCATCTTCCCCTCCCAGTCAGAAATTGCTTTGTTACAAAATTCCTTTGCCACAGCTACTGCCTTCTGAACACAATTCCCTCCTTTTGATATTGCTAGGTAATTAAGTGCCTCCAGTATAACTGTGACACCTCCATGCCTTTATTCTTGTTCCCTCTCCAGTTTGCCATCAGCCTGTGGGGGCCTTGCTTGAAGTAGTATTGACACCTCCACAGAAAGACTCCCACAGCCCTGAAATGCTGTTCTCTTCTTAACATGCTCAATGAGCTTGGCAGGAGAGATCATACTCAGACCCAGCTTTCAGTTCTCCCTTCCTCCACATTCTGGTGTGCTTTGGCCCTTTGCCCACAAGCCCAGATCAGGAATGCTGGCAGGAAGGGATGTTGCTCATCGCTGCAGAAGACCTCCTCTGTAGGGAAATGCAGAAATCCTCATATGCAAAGCTTCCTTCTGCATTTTGAAGAGACCCTGGTTTAAGGAAAGGCAAATTTTCCTATTCAAATGGGAAACAAGCAGAAAATGCAACACATATGAATAAAAACTCGTGTGCATGAGAGTTCCCATTTCTAGTAAGTAATTATTACCTGCAGTAACAGGCAGTGCAGATCCCACCTCTCTCCTTTTCTTTGTGTCTGTGGTCGGGTTTTTTCCCTGCTTTCCCTCCCCTCTCTTTTCCTTTTTCTTCAATTATAGCATCAAAAGAAAACTAAGACCTTTTGGAGACATAAATGAAGCAGTCCTGCACTAGAATGGCATCAGCATCTGGACAACTGGCAAAACATAGTTCAATACTTATTGTACCTATTTCTCAACCCCTCCACCCCCACCCCAACAGCAAGCATGAAGAGTCTTGCCTTTCTTCTTATTTACCAACAAAAATTAAAGCTGAGAGTGTTCAGAAGTCCATTTCAGAAGGTTTTGCTCTGGTCACATTACAACAGATTGCTTTGATCTGGGGGGAGGAAGGAAGAGAAGAGCAGAGCACATCTTAAGTTCACAAAGCTAAAAGCCAAGATGCACAAAACCGAAGCATTCCAAAGTTAAAAATAATCATCTTTAAACTGCAAGAGCAGAGCTGCAATTTTGAGCATGACATCATGGTTTATGTGGGGCCAGCTCAATAAATCAAACTGTGCCTAATTAGAGATCATACTGCAAATCTACATTATTTGGACAAATAATTAAAACAGGACAGTCCATAACACAAGCCAGATATGTTTACTAAAATATGTTTTTTTCAAATTTTTATGTTCACTACTGCTCACAAAGCTTTTACATTTAGTAAATTATAGACCCCATAGCTTTTATTTTAGGCTGACTTCACTTTCAAGGAATTCTTCAATTAACTTTACGTTGCTTCAAGCTCTTCATCCAATGAGAAAACAATCTGTGGTTTCTTACTTCTCCCAGTGCCAATGGCTGCCCTCCATGTTTGACTTGAAGACTTACTGTCTTTTTAGAGCCAGGATCTGTTTGTCTAAAATCAGCCTAGTTGTCATAGTATTTTGACAAGTCATATATAAAAGGAGAACAAACCTTTGTGGTGGGTTAACTGCTAAGAATAACGAAGGTTGTTCTCACAATCTCAACAGATAAGTGCCAAAATTAAAATTAAAGAACATTCAGCAATATACCCAGAGCTGAAAGTCCTGACTACCTCAGTTGCCCTTCTTTTCCACCTACTCCAATTTTTCCAATTTCTACTTTTTTCAGTTGTTTTTCTAAAATGTGTGCTTTTTCTCAAATCTAAAAGCTATGATATACTCAAGCATTTGTAGCATAAAAAAGCCCCCAGTGCTATCAAACATTACTATCTGTAGATGGTCAGGACGCCTCTGGAATTGTTGGAAATGCTGTGGAGACTTTGACTATCAGTTACTGGGTAGATAATGTCAAATCAAGAGCCAAGGAGTTTAATAAAAAGCATGAGCTGAACAAAAGGGATAGGATTCATTCCCAAACAGCGCATTTTTCCTCCTTGAGAAAAGAACTTGAGAAATTTGTGTGAAACTTTTTAATCTCAGAAATAAAAAACAGGAGAGAGTTGGCAGCTCTCCTTCCTTTTCCCTTATGCTATTTGGCTTGGTAAATGGACCAATATACAGATGATTAAAAGAAGTCTGAAGACAATGACTGAGAAGCAAAATGTCTGACAGTCTCAACAAAAAAGGACTATACAAAAATAAAAAATATGTCTATTAGTGCACAATTACTTGTGCAAGTTGTTTTATGTAGAATGTTAACCAAGCACAGATATGGAAAAAATATCATTCACTTCTTAATACACAGATCTTTAGATAAAAAAAATCCAGAGGGCTTTAAAGGAATCAAAACACATTAAACATTAAATGTACAGCACAGCAATATTTATAAAAACATGACAAATGAGTTTCCCTCAACCAGAGCCACCATGATCAGCATGTCCTTAAATGGAATGTACCTTTCAGACCTCCATTTCAATTCTATGTTACAATAATTAGCATCAGACTTGTAATTTTTTTTTTTTTTTAATAATTTAAGATTGTCTTTGTGGCAAGAAATATTATGGCTGACCTCTGTTAACTGCAAGCATTCAGAGCCATAGCCATTCCAATTCCCTTATATCCTCAGTGTGCAGCAACAGATTTCTCAGGGAAAAAAAAAACCAAAAAACCAACCCTGTAACTATTTGGACATACTTCTGAAAGCAACAGTGAAAATTAAGAAAGCAGCCTTCCCAAAGAAGTATCTATTTTTGAAATGTGTGCTTTTAAAACACAATGCTTATGGAATGAACTACTTCAGTTCTCTTGTGTAAACTTGTACAGATTGTTTGCTATTGATCTTTTGAGTCATATTTTGGCAGTAAACTGGTATCCTAGCAGAAAATATAAGTACTGCAGAACAAGTGATGTAATCTACATCTATACTTATTTTTTTTTATTTTTTTTTAGCTGAATTTATATTTCAAAATAAATAATCTGAACTGCATACTTCATTTCTTCCCCATATTTGATATGAGATTTATGGTATTGAAGACCTTCAGAGAAGACAGTTTGTCTGTAGGAATGTGGCTCCTTTAAGTCACAGGACAGAGCTCAGATCAAAGAAAGCAGTGTTTCTATCTGTACTCAAATTAATTCTATTGACTGTTTCCTTAACTGAATGACAAAGTGACCCTATAAAACCAGTGCAAAACCTGATCTCAAGGAAGCAAAATCTAGGTTTTTTTCAGAGTGTATTGTTCTTTCCTCCCTGTCCCCAAGCTACTGTCCATTCAGAAAACACCACAGAGAAGAGAAAAAAGAGAATTACACTGTAGCAAGGCTATCCACATGGCCCAGGCTTGCGCTGTGTGTGCAGTATATGCACATGCACTCCATTCTGATGTGGCCCAGGGGCACAACATCCATGTTTCTGCTCCTTTGTGGAGTACAACTGCACGGTACTTAGACACAAGTGGAAAGAGCATATGGAGGTGGGTAGCTGTCAGAGTGAAGCTAATGCAATACTCCAGACAGGTAATTAAAGCTGTGCTCAGCCTCAAACTCTCAAATACCCTAATTCTTTAACCAACAAAAGAGATTGCCAGGAAAGGACAACAGTGAGTGAGAGCAAGTACATAAGCAAGAGTGTGTGCAGGACATGAAGCACGAGTGCTTTACCCCTTTCCTCAGTGGTTTCTTCCACTCAGAACCACTACCTAAAGGCCTGAATCTCATCTAAGTCTGCTTACTCTAAAAATAAGAACACGGTCAAGGCCAGTATATAGAGAACAGTATATATATATATACACACATATATACACACACACATATCTATATCTGTATCTGTATCTGTATCTATATCTATATATCTATATCTATATCTATCTATCTATATATGTAACAGTATAGGAATCCCACCTTTTAAATCCTAGATCAATGTTTTCTTACCTCTCTGAAGCTGTGATTGATGCCAGCTTTTTCACACCTTTTCCTCTCTCTCATTCCATCGAGTGCCACTACTTCTCTACTCTACTGTCCTTGTCACACTGCTGACCACCTCTTCCTCACTGCCACCTGAGATCCAGTTTCATGGGGAGCTGTAAAGATTAGGACAAACACCAGGCACCCATCTCTGGGCAACTGCAAGCTCTGTCTCTAAGAAGCACAGCACCTCAACTTTTCATTCGGGAGCATCTCTAATGCCCCTTCATATAGAATGGCAAGGAAGCAGCATATTTAAAACTTGAGAAAAATTTAAATTAACACAGCTTGCAGTGACTTTATTAGAGGCTGAAGCCCACGTAAAATCTGTTGGAATAATAAACAAGAGATTTTTGCCTTACATTACACAAAAGATTTGTCTAGATGACTACAGAGGGTCCTTCTGACTAAGTTGTGACAATACATATGCTAGAGAATTTTAAAGATCAGGGTTATTTCCCAGTATGAATTACACTATTTCTTGTTTTAATTTTGATCTTCTAAAACCAGACACACCCCAAAGGAATATATATTACGCACAGAGATGCCCAGAGCCTGCCTTTAGATACTGTCCAAATGACATACTTTCTGACCAAGGAGCTGTTTCCATTAATTCTCTATTAAGAATCACAGGATTCAAATTGTTGATTTCCAGCATTACCTCATACTGGGCCTCTAACTGATTAATTAAAACTGTATATATATATATACAGGAAAAAGAACAAAAAAGCAGAACTGCAGTAGTTTGAACCAAGAGTGTCTCTGATAAAAGAAATGGGCTGCTGTTCCAAACTCCTTTCCATAGATTGATTGTGAATTGTAACCAGACAAGATCTCCTTTTTCAAGCTTCCAGAAACTGACAAACATGTCTACTGCACAGGAAGTCATATTTATAGTTTCATTACTTTCCACAATAAACCGATTCTCCTATAATCAGAAGTTGTCTCTAGGCTTGCTAAATGGAAGATCTTTTCCCTTGAGGCTGCAGCCTCTTAAAGGGAAGCTCCCAAATCTAGTTAGTAATGGCTGCGGAGGGAAAAGCACGGCTCAGCACAGCCCCCACATCATTATTACACAGTAAAGACATACCAGGCTTTATTATTTCAAAAAAGAAGAAACAACTCTGAAATCCTGGTATTGCAATGTGTGTTAATTACCCTGCTAAATTACCATTTAATTTTTGGTGTATGTTTAGCTGACCTACTTGTTACTATCTATTTCAAATTCTTGAATATAGACAGAGGAAGAGCTACTACAATATAAACCTTATTATATAATTGGGCAAGGCCTTTGAGCATGGAGGTATTCCACAAGAAATCTGAAGCAGTAGACTGCTTCATTGAATGGAAATACATGTCAAACTTCTCCAGATGACAGTTAATAACTTGCTTGTACATTTTTACTATCATCCTGCATACAGAAAATTATTAAGAAAAACCCAAACTCCAACTTGAAATTTTCAAATTCTCTTCCAGCAACTGTATCAGAGTATTTAAAAGGGCACAGCACTAGCTTTGGCCAAAAATTCCCCCTCCTCCCTCAAATACAGAGAAAAAGAATAAAATTTTTTAAAGGAATAGAGAGAGATTAATACTTTACCCAAGCAGAAATTCTTCAAAAACCAAAAAATCACCGCAAAACTCATTCTTACCTAAAATTGGAAGAAAAGAGAGAGGAAAAGGTAAGAAAGATTAAGAATCATTCCTTGGAGCATTACACCTTCAAAATAGAAAGAATTTCTGAACAAATCTAAAGTAAACAAGTTACACAAGAACAGGAAATTGCAATTTCTTTGAAACAGTCATTAACCTTACGAGGGAAACCACTACCAACATAAACAAATAAGTAATAAAGGAAACCATTTTACCAGAGGGAAACCTGTCTTGAAGCAGCGTGACAAGGGAATACAAAAACACTTTGCCTGAAGTGGTGGGTCTCTAAAGAAAACTGGAGGAATTCCATAGTAAGGATCATCCAGACACAAGCTTTAAATAGGTAATTTTCAAGGTTTCAGAGAGGAGGCTGTACCACAGAAATTCAGAAACTTTTAAATACAGGACTCAAATTTAAACTGAATGTAATCTCATACTGTTGTTACACATAAGCAGGTTTTTGAATGATATCTACCAGCCTAAATAGTTTTTATAATTATAGCTTTCCATGCCCAATCCTTGTTATTTATAAATAACTACAGTTAAAATAAGCACAAGCATCATGGTGATTATTTCATTATATTAAATTGTAATCAGAAATTAGAAAATACTCATGAAAAAGAAAAAATGAAAAATCAGAAAATTTAACCTTCATTAGAAGACGATGTTTTCAAAAATTTGCCTAAGGAACATGCATACAGAATTGAAAACAGATCTAATATTCAGAATGTAAAATCATTACTTCTAGATAAAAACTAATTCTCAAATCTGAAGTATTTTTAACTTTCATTGCTTGCATTTCTTAAATAGTTGCAAGTGAGAAGCAGTCCTCTTGTATTTATTCCAGTGGAAGAAAAGAAGTTCATAGTGGTGTAAGAAAGTTATAAATAAAATAAATACCGAAAAGAGAAACATTTTTTTAATTTCAGATTTTTAAGTCAACTATCTTCAAGTAACAGCATTTCAGACTGTCCTTATTTGTTCTTGTTTATTACACTGGTGCCCTTTGTGGCTTCTTGTATTTTAGCAACTGGAACATACACAGTAAAGCTAGCAACACAACAGAAGTTTAGCAAAGGCAGACATAATTTGATTTCAAAAAACCACCATAGAAAAGAGCAAGCAGCTCTACAAACAGTGGAACCAATGTGGTTTGGCTTCCCATGAATTTGTGTCTTATGGGGATTTGAAAAAATGTAAGTAGGTCCACAAGCTCATACCAAGATCTCTTTCTCCTACCTGGGAAGCCACTGGAATGAAACTTGCTGAAACTTACTATCATCAAAATCTGTTTCTCAGCTGGTCCATCCCCAACACTGGGAATGACTGTCTGAAAAACAGATCAAAGTTCTTCTTCCCTAGAATAACAGGTCAGTGACAGTAGTATCAGATCCACTACTTTTACACAGGTTCATTCCATTTTTACTAATTGGCATTCAACTAAGAAAAAATCTTTTCGTATCTGAATCAGCTTCTAAAATACTATAGCAGTGTTAAGTTTTGTGACTTCTTGTTATCTTGTTCGTGCATTTAGGAGACTCGCTACAAGAGAAAAACCTTTACATGATATTAAAAACAAATCCCCAGTCAGCACATTCCAGTATTTACATACAAGGGGGGCTTAGTAAATTCAGAAATGGAAAATATTTGTTATAGAGATCTAAAAGCCAAACACACCACCTATGCCTCATCACCCGCACAAAGTGAGTTGTGTCCCATCACTCCTAAAGAGATTTGGGAAATGGAAATTTCCAGTGCTAGAGAAGTGGCAGAAAATAACATGTACAAATTAAGAATGTCACAGGGTTGCACTCAGGAAGCTTAAGAGGTTATCTCTGGAAACACCTTCTCAAATGGAAAAATGGTGGCGGCAGCAATCATGGGAGATGAGGGAAAATGAGGGCTATCTATAAACAAGACAAACTCACCAAACCCCAAGGGGAAATTTAGAGCAGGAATGAAGGAAGATCTCTGACAGTAACATTATGCACTTTTCTCACATTGTTCAGCCAAAGAGCAAGAGGGCACTGAGAATCCCTCTGAATTACCCAGTTGCTATCTACCTGCAGGAGCTCAGACAAAAGGCTCCCACAGTGAGCCAGGAGTCAGGCAGCAACAGCCCTGAAAGGGTTTTAAAGTACAGACAGCCCACCAAGAAACCCAGGCTTTGCTTCTGAGAAACATCTGACAGATAGAGAGTCCCAAATGAAATGCAAGAAATCCCATCACAGAGCTGCTGTCCAGGCCTTTCTTAAAAGCCAGAGGAGCCAAAAGAAAGGCTCCAGGTAGAGACCTCTGCACTGCTGTTCCACTGCACCACAAGCATGGACCACCTCTCCTTGATAAGTGATGCCTTAATTGCACAAACTTTAAGAATCATGCTTACCTGCCAAGACCATGGTTTTCTTCTATTCCACTTGTACTACTCAAGGGTGGGATTTCTGTTTGTTTTGTTTATTTGAGTTAGTTTTTTTTGAGGTTTTGTTTTGTTGTGGGTTTGCGGTTTTTTGGTTTTTTTTTTTAATTTATATTTTAACCCTGAGATTCTTCATATCCTTCTGGGATCTTGTAATATGAGACTGTTGAACTGATGAATGGACACTAGGAACATGCAAAACCTGAAAGCAGATTGGAAAATGCATTTCTATGCACTCTCCCAGGAAGAGAAGATGCCAAACCCCAAGTGAAATAGTTTGCTGCAGGATTCCTATGGTGCTGATACAACTAATGTAGTATTCAAAGGCCACAGCAAGAAAGGCACATACAGAAAAAAAAAAAAATAAAATCCTAAATCTGCATTGTTTTGGAGACTTCAAAGGACTTTTTCTGAATATGTTAGACTTTAACGTTGTCCTTTTGCATCCCCCTATGCATGGTGATCTTTGGCCACAAAGAAGATAATAACAACTGAAATACCAAGATGACCCCAGCAAGCCTTTGAGAAAGGTACCTAACTGCACACAGAAACACCTGATGGGTGACCATGGTGTTATCAGCCAAGGTCTCTGAAGCTTGACAACACACCACAAATGCCAAACAAAGCAGAGCATGTGCAAAAGGCACAGTACGCCTTAGGTAAACCTAGATTTAAGTAGCGCAATAAATAAGACTGAGCTACAGTTATAGCCATTTAACCCACTTAGTTATTTTGGCTTGGTACATTTGCTATCTGGCTGCCTGAACCAGGACACTGCTGCCAACATCTGTTTCCTGCCTCTTGGGTCCTTCCTCAATCACAGCTTCCTCTGGATTTGTGGGCTTGCCTGAGCCAAGGAGCCAGACACAGCTTGCTCTATCACTCTGCAGGGCTGTTTGCTGCTTTGTGCAGCAAGAGGCAGCCCCAACCTGATGAACTGGAGGGTGGTGATGTCCTGACTCATAAACCTGCACAAGTGAAGGTACAGGTTTTGCAGAACAGTTACTTTTTACACTTCTACTTCATTCAATGCCTTTCAATTTTGAAAAAAAAAAAACAACAACTAAGCATTTTAAAGCCTCATGTGATAA